TTAGTTATTTAGTATTATAAGTTTAAATCTTAATTTAAAAATTTTAGATTAATAAATATTAATTAGGACGAACTCTTACTAGTATTAAATAATTTTATTTATGCTTAAAGATATGTTATTTTAATGTATTAATTGACAAGTTTTTTTTTTTTTTTGTACAATGAGCTCTCATCCCTTTACCTAACCCAATTCAATAATATGATTTAAGTTCAAAATATTTTACTTTTATTAAAAAAAATTATAATTGAGATATTAGTTGACAAGTTAATAAGAAAAAGAATTGATAAAGAACAAATTTCTTATCAATTCTCTAATTTGATGCAAATTGTCTGTCTCTTACTAGATAAAAACATGCAAATTACTTGAGTAATTTCTTTAAATAAGTGAATGAGAAAAGATGCTACTAAATAGTCGATTCCATGTGGTTTTCCCTCCCCCCTTGCTTACCATCATTTTCTAATGATATTAGGATGTTTGTTGTAATATTTAAAATTTAAAAATTGGTGTCTTGAGGAAAAAGTACTACAACCATGCTTAGAATGCAAGTTCAACTCCTCCAACTTTGTTTTTCGTAGAAATAATTCCAATGAGTTACACAAATCAAATAATTTTAGTAAGTTACACATATCAAAACATAACAATTTGTATGTATTTACGAAATTAATCTAGCAAAGACCCAAAAAAACGCATGTTATTCAAAAAGAAAAAAAAAAAGTAATAAAATATGGTTTCACATTCATTGAGTTTTTATTTCTAGAGGCCAAACTACATGGAGGTTATCTCTAGGAAAATATATATTACATGGTCAAATAAAGTAATATCGTCGAATCCTTAAGAAAGCATTTAGCTGAAAAACAGGATTCAATTCTGAAGTTGAGATTTATAGATGTCATAGCCGGAGGTGGCAGCTGTGATGGGACACAACCTGATAGAGTAGGAGTATGGCACAGGAGGAACTAGATACTTCTCATGAACGGAGGGTGTCCAGCTATCATCTCCACCCAAACCCATATGTTTATGATCAAGGTGCACCTACAAGTACCACGGAGATTAATGGGATAATGCAACATACAAGGTCATATTCAGTGAGAAACAATGTAGAGAATTGATCAAATGAACAGCAGAAAACTAGTATTTAAGGAAACTAGAGAACCTCAAAGAATGATAGAACCACAAATGCTTTATATCAGAAGCACGAAATAAAAGATACGCGTGGAGATAGTAGTAATTACTGATCATTTGAGGCATTCTGTTAATCACTTCACTTTTTTTTCTTTTTCCCCTTTTTTTTTTTTTTTTTTTTTTGAGGTAGGTTAATTGATCACTTCACTTAGTAATATCTTTTGCCGTAGTTTTCATAAATGTGTTTAGGAAAAAGGTATTTCATCGCTACAAAAGAAGGAAAAATTACCTCGATGTCATCCCCCTTGATTAGTTCTTCAATATGTGTTGCGCGTTCAAGCTCTGCTGTTTTGTAGTAACTTGCACTCATTTGCATAGGTGGAGAGTTGCCATAAACTGAAGCATAAATTCCAAGTCCATCTTTGTTTTGAAATGTCACCCACCTGACATCTGCCTTGCCCCCACTTTCCCCAGGAACAATGTAAGGAACATGCATGCCAGCCACGCTTTGCTCATAGAATCCAATGTGGGCAGAGGCTTTCCGATCTGGATAACACTCGAATGGTCCTCTTCCATACCATTTGATTTGATCCACTGATTTCTCTAGGTGGAATTCAACTCCAATGCGCGGTAAAGGAGGAAGATCAGAATTGGGTTTTACACTGGATTCGACAATGATGTCTCCAGAACCATAAATTGTATAAATCATGTCAATATTGAATAGAGCATTTGATTTTCCCTCTTCAAAAGAGCCATCCTCACTCTTCAACACACCAAGGTAAACAACTACTATTTTCACGAGATTGTCTGCTGGACTCTCTATAGAACAACTTTTTGTAACAAAAGAGAGGCTATCAATATGGGCAGCTTTCCACCGGGAGCAGTAACTAGTTTGTTCTCCCCCTTTATCATTATCAGTAGGTGCTCGCCAGAAGCATGGAAATATTCCTTTATTCATGATTGGGGCTCCTTCAACCTACCATTTACCATCGCACTGTTAGAACTTCAAATTATTGTAAAACACTTCAGTGTGCTCGGGACTCACAAAACAAGGCCAAGCTTCAAGTTTCTTGTCAAATGTTGAAAATTTACAAGGAAACTGACATGAATTGCACATTACTCTATCATTAACAGCTTTTAGCTGAAGAATGAAAATCTGTAAAAATATTTTGAATTTAACAAAAAGAAAAGGAAAAAAGAATGTTGGGTCAAACAGTTCCCGAACCAAAAACCTGACTGACTTATAGGGAAAAAGGATTCCATCAACAATCAAACATTTTCCTTATCAAAGTGTAGAGTTTTGTTCTTTCAGTTTTAGGGAGTTCTGAAACTTTTTACCCCAAAAGGATATAATAGAGATTAATATTTTCCTTCAGGGAAACAAATATAACAATATCCAATTCAACAAGCACCAAATGCATAGATTACCTTCCAGCTTTCGAGCATTCCTGTTCTAACATTCAACTTGATCTCCCACAAGTTCTGTTGCTTAATTTTGATAGTATCTCCAAGAACTTCAGTGGAGAGGGCAATATCTTTTGGTTTGATGAACTGAGAAAATCAGTTGTGAAAACATGAAATAATTGCAAGTAACAGCCAAAATTCC